TCTGAAGCTTTTCAACTCTGATGCCTTTTTTCCAGTTTTCTACTCTGCTGTGGGCTTCAGGCCAACAAATCATACTTTTGCAGCTTCAGTCACTTCATACCCTGATGTTTTAGGTACAAAAAGAAGCTGCCTGCCTCAGGTATCTTCTCATGGGACGCTGGTGCCTTTGCACATGTAAACACAAACAGGGCAGCAGGATTGCTATAATGCAGAATATTAATATTGCAATATTTTGAAAGTTTTAGTGATTTTGCACACATATTTAAAATATTGTTCAGTTTTAATGAGAATACGCAGATATGTTAAGTACATGGGTGCTAACGGTTTCATGTTCAGTTTATATGAAACATCAATTGCTGTGGATGAAGGGGAAATAAGTATGAAGTGACACGGGTACAAAACGACCTGCACCCCTTTAGTCACTGTAATTTTCAAGTAACAACAGGAAGAAAAGAAAACTTGCACCAAATAAGAAGCAGAAGCTGCAAAATTCATCTTCATAGAAAAGATTTTACCTCCACTCTGTCATGAAACCTGTTCACAGAATGTTTTTCAGATGATCACCTCTCTTACAGATCAAAAAAGATAGAGTATTTTTTTAGTATCAAGTGTTGTGACAACCTTCAGCATTTCATCCTTTCAAAAATACTTTCTGCTGCTTTTAAAAGATAAAGAAGAAGAAAAAACTCAATTTGATGCATCGTTCCATCTAAAAACACCTCTTGGCTTTAACCAGTCTGAGTGTTGTGTCAAACAATCCTCTTGTAATAACATTCAGTGTTAAATGGACTATGCTTTTCTAACTTAACTTTCACAAGGCCTTTCAGCCAGTAAGAGGCAGTTTCCATGGTTTTCATGCAAATCATCATCTTGGACCGTTACTTGTGTTTTACTTGACCTATTTTGGCAGAGGATGGCAAAAGATAAAAACCAGATCAGATTATAAGGTACTCACTGTGAAGTTAGGAAGACTGGTGAAAAAATTCTTAGAGGAAAAAAACAGTACTATTATTCTTGTATCGATGGGTAGGAGTCATTCATTCATTTAAATCAGGTGTCAAAGTAGAAAAACATCACAAAAGTAGATGAACCTATTAATAAAAACTTCTGTAACTAAGATTTATTCAGTCTAACAAGAGATGGATAAAATGCAATTGATTAACAGACTTCTGTTATTCATTCAAATCATACCTAATTTTACAGACTACCAACACGTCTTCCCATGAGGAAGCAGAGCCTGAGGACCCTGGGTCGGACTCTCCAATCTCTCGTGCTGAGGTCATTGAGGTGGTTATAAAGCTCCTCGGTGGCAGGRCGCCGGGGGTGGATGAGATTCGCCCAGAATTCCTTAAGGCTCTGGATGTTGTGGGGTTGTTTTGGTTGACACGACTCTACAATATCGCATGGACATCAGGGGAAGTTCCCCTGGATTGGCAGACCGGAGTGGTAGTCCCCCTATTTAAAAAGGGGGGCTGCAGAGTGTGTTCCAACTATAGGGGGATCACACTTCTGAGCCTCCCTGGTAAGGTCTATTCAGGGGTTCTGGAGAGGAGGGTCTGTCGGATAGTTGAATCTTGGATTCAGTAAGAGCAGTGTGGTTTTGGTCCTGATCGTGGAAGAGCAGACCAGCTCTACACCCTCAGCAGGGTCCTGAGGGTGCATGGGAGTTTGTCCAACCAGTCTACATGTGTTTTGTGGACTTGGAGAAGGCGTTCGACCGTGCCCCTCGGGGACTCCTGTGGGGGGTACTCTGAGAGTATGGGGTACCAGGCCTATTGATACGGGCTGTTAGGTCCCTGTAGGACCGGTACCAGAGCTTGGTCTGCATTGCCGGTAGTAAGTCGGACTAGTTTCCGGTGAAGGTTGGACTACACCAAGGTTGTCCTTCGTCACTGATTCTGTTCAAAACTTTTATTGACAGAATTTCTAGGAGCAGCCGAGGTGTTGAGGGGATCCTTTTTGGTGACYTTAGGATCACATCTCTGCTTTTTGTGGATGATGTGGTCCTATTGGCTTAATCAGATCCTGATCTCCAGCTTTCACTGGAGCGGTTCACAGCAAAGTGTGAAGCAGCCAAAATGAGGATCAGTGCCTCCAAATCYGAGACCATGGTCTTGAGCCKGAAAWTGGTAGGGTGCCTTCTCCGGGTCGGGGAGGAGGTCCTGCCCCAAATGGAGGAGTTTAAGTATCTCAGGGTCTTGTTCATGAATGAGGGAAGAATGGAGCATGAGATCGACAGGTGGATTGGTGCTGCGTCTGCAGTGATGCAGGTGTTGTACCGGTCTGTCGTGGTGAAGCGAGAGCTGAGCCAGAAGGCAAAGCTCTCAGTTTACCAGTCGGTCTACTTTCCTACCCTCATCTATGGTCAAGAACTTTGGGTAGTGACCGAAAGAACGAGATCACAGATACAAGCGGCTGAAATGAGTTTCCTCTGCAGGGTGTCTGGGCTCTCCCTTAGAGATGGGCTGAGAAGCTCAGTCATCCAGGAGGGACTCAGAGTAGAGCCGCTGCTCCTCCACATCCAGAGGAGCCAGTTGAGGTGGTTCATCTGGTTAGGATGCCTCCTGGACGCCTCCCTGGTGAGGTRTTCTGGACACGTCCCACTAGGAGGAGGCCTAGAGGAAGACCCAGGACACGTTGGAGGGGCTATGTTTCTCGGCTGGCCTGGGAAAACCTTGGGATTCCCCCGGATGAGTTGGCCCAAGTGGCTGGAGAGAGGGAAGTCTGTGTCTCTCTGCATAGGCTGATGCCCCCGAGACCTGACCCCGGATAAGCGGAAGAAAAYGGACGGACGGACAGACTTCTGATGAACTTGAAGACCTGAAGAGCAGATAAACTACTAAAACCCGCAGGATAGTGGAATTTAAGGACCAGAATCAGACACCCCTGGTTTAAACAAACATGAGCAATATGTTTGTGCACAGATTATATTGTGAATAACTCCCACCTACTACCACACCTAATTTTACTAGATAATCTGTAAAACTGACAGAGTTACAGCCTTTTTGTGGTCATTAGATGTGTCCATTTTGTTGAGTCCAAAAGGTACTAATGATTACTTTCAGAATGTTTTATTAAATTCTGTGGTTCATCAGTTATTTTGCTWACAAAAACTCTCAAAGGCTATGACATCAACGACCACTTTTTATGGAGGAGAGTAATAAACATTGACTTTATCAAACTTTCTTGGATTTCATATGTCAGAAAGCATACATTTGAAAGACTATAAAATAAAATAATTAAAATTATTTATTTTAAAATCAAACTTTTCTAATTCCAGACTGCTAAATGTTGTAAAAGCTGGAAATAAAGGCAACCACCATCAGAGCGTCTCCATACCTAATTTTATTCTATCTCTATTAAAGGACGGCTCTCATCAATTAAAAAAAATCTGTTTTTTCCAGTGAGTGAAAACCCGGTTGCCTGGTGGAGGTCATAAAGCAACATCTGCCAGTTCAGTGCAGCCTTCACTGCCTTCTACCACCCCCACCCAGTCCAGTTCTGGATTAGAGCTGGCCTAAGTCCCCCCCCACACACAGCATGCCACTCTGGGTGGATTAACTCCTGCAGAAGCCACACTACTGTCACGCATTAACCTGCAATCACAAGCCTCTTGTGCAAAGGACAYCCGTGACAAACCTGCAGCAAGGACTGAKGGGAGTCTGCTGCAAACAGGCTGCAAGTTTCACATATTTTGGGATGTGTGTGGGATGTGCAACATGCTGGYCAGAATAAATGGAGTCAAGCTGGCTGCTGAAACCGAAACACTGGGATTTCCAAATGTATCAGACAGATCTTATCTTCATGCGGAAGCAACAAGTTGTTCTGATTTTTGCATCACCTCAAGTAAAAACATTATCTGTGACACTAAATGTCTCAGTGTTTAGTTTTATTTTGAACAATCCAGTCACTGAGAGTCTCAGACAGTAAAATTCAGCAAAAGCTTTTCTAAATGAGCCTGTCTTCTCAGAAAAACCAACATTTCAAGGCTTTAGTATGTCACGGGGCTGAGTAGTTGATGAATGTTTTGCAACCTTCAGTGGTTCTTAACTTCCTCATATCTCACAGAGGAACACAGGTCTGTCGCTTGAGTTTTGAACAAAACATCTGTGACAACAACTGTGTGAGAATAATCAAGTCTTTGTGGACATCTCCAGCTCGTATCCAGAGCTTTTTGACACCTGCACAGGAGTTGTCCTCTGACAGAAACAGTTGGAGGTACCCTAATCTAACCCAGAAACTACACTGATAATAAATACTGAAAACTTGGTCCAGTAGATTAAAACATAAATGTGGGGGTGGCAGAACAGCTGGAATGTGCACAGCCAAGAGTGCAATTTTTCAAGTTGTGCACAAGCAAATATGGAAAACATCAGTTTTCTGGTCAGAAATATTCAGAATCTGATGAGACTGTAACAAAAATTTCCCACAATATTCAATAGCAAGCTTGGTGAGACACCGTCTTCAGAAACTCACAGACAAACAAAACAAATGGACAATATGATCACACAACTGCCCGTCTGAGAACAATAAGCAGAGGAGCTTTCAGACGAACTCCACTAAAAGCAAAAACTGCGACTAATTTGAGGCTCGGCCAAGAAGCCGTGAATCATTCAGCTCAGTCGGACTGACGGCACAGACCGAGCGCCCCGTAGACACGGGTGATTTTTAAAAACACGCTCATGCAACCCTTTGTTCCAATAAAATCACACGCATCATTCTTTCAGCTGAAGAGGAGCTGAGCAGCAGGAGGGGCGGGGGGCTGTAATCTTTGCAGCAGCAACAGTTGGCTGCCAGTCGACTGAGAGGAAAAGAGTTCGCTGCAGCACAGACGCTCAGCACGCATACATGAATCAGGAGATAAAAGGTGGCTGATGGGAGGAGAGGAGAAAAGGTGACAGTTAATGCCACAAAGCCGTGAGGCTGAAAGGATGCCTGGCAACTGGTGGAAGGAGAGGGAGAAGTGAAAGGGACAGACAGAGACAGAAACCATCACTCACTGGAGTCATCCGAGTCGTATCCCTCCACGTCGGGCTCCTCGTCCCTCCTGATGGCCTGTAGGGAGGCGGAGGCGCCGGCGCACGCCCGCTCGGGGTTGTCCTCATTCGGGCGCTCACTTTCAGCGGCAGCGGGCGCGGCGGGAGCGGCCGAGGAGGTAGAGAGGGCAGAGCGCAGGGGGCCGACGTGGCCCGCAAACTGGGGCGCAGCGGGGGGGAGGCCCCGCGGGTAACGGGGGAAGTAGTCGGAGATCTGCTTGATGGGCTGGATGGGGCCGGGGCACACGTCAATGGCCATGTGCTCCTGGATGCTGATGGTGGGTTTCTCGCCTTTGCGTTGTGTCATGCATGCGGTCCAGCCCGGAGCCCACCTCCCAAAACCACAACAAAAAGAAAAAAAAAGAAATAAAAACAAACCCAGCCGGTGGTTCTTCCCCTCCTGTTGATTATCTGAAGCAGGTGGTTTTCCTCCTGATAGGTGCACTAATCCAGGTGATGTTTGGACCTGACCACTCTGGTCTACATGGAGTTCCTGAGGCGGCTGCTTCGTCTCCCAGAGCTGTCCTCAGACCCAGACCATGCTGCCTGCCAGCCTCACGCACACTACAACCCACCCTCCTGCTCTCTGCTCTTCCTATAAACCTCCCCCCCCACCACACTCTGCCCACGTCTGCGCCGCCTATCTGAGAGAGACAGAGCCGAGAGAGACTGGCGAGTGTTTGTGAGGCAGAGGGAAGGGATTAGAGAGGAGGGGAGGGAGGGATCAGCTGATGTCACTGCTTAGCAACCGAGCGATAAACAGGAACCGTCGGCCGAGGCGCTTAATTGTGATATTAAGCCCGTCCATCTGTCGGGGCGAGGGAAGATCCAGAGCCGTGCCAGGCTCGCACATGTTGGAATGTGGCGTYGAGTGCGTAGGTGGGTTCCTGCGTACCTCTTCCGCTACGACAACCTGGAAAGTGAGACATAAACAGTTGTTTAGTGAGTCACTTTTACAAACGTCTATTAAAAGGAACTCAGTGGAAACTACGAAATCAAACGTAAAAACTAAAGGTTATAAACTTTAGCAGATGGTGCAGTTAGAAAAAAACTTAGTTCTGTAGTTTTTCAGACTTATTGATATGAAATTCAGAAATGCAGGTATGCAATGAATGTAACAAAGCACTTGGTTGAAACCAAGTTGAAGCTTAAGTCACAAGACTGACAAATAGACAAATTTAATAAGCACACAGGACATTTAGGTGAACATAGGAGTCAATCTGCTAATAAATGTGGATGAAAAAAACTATTTTAAATATTGGGGATAAAACAGGTGGAGTGTCATAAAGACAGAACTTAATTTTCAAAACTCACTTTGTGAAACTTCTGCTTTACAACTCTAATTTAAAGGTTTGTTTTTAAAAGAATCTGCATACTTTACTCAAAAAATAAATACACAAAAATACATAAAAAGTCTTCTCCATCCTAAGCAGTCCCTACATGGATGATGTCATTGTTGACCTATTTTCTGTCACTTCAGCTGCTTCCAAATGTAAATAAACAAACGAGGCAGTTGGCAGACATTCACAAACTGCTTACATATAATTAAGGACACATCCATATGAGGAAAAAAAGTGGATTTTGTTTCTAAACATTTTTCAGTATGATTAAGGCTAAATTTGTTCTTAATTATCAGAAACTTTAAACCCTTCTTGTGAACATTTACGTGTAGTTAAAAAAAACGAGACAAAACCCATCTTCTGTTGCCACAGATGGTTTCATTTCGTCCAGTCCTTTTGACATTTTCCCGTCGTCACGCTCCAGATTAAAGACGTCCRCTCTCCTTTAAACACTAAAAACGTTTTCTTTTCCTCAAGCACACTTGTCTGTTTAAGTGCACGGACTCATTTCCACTTCCCAACGCACCAATTACACACCCTGATGTTATCACACGTTTYATAATTGCTTACCATCTGTTCCGAATGTGTGTGTAGTCAAGTCTGAAACACTTGGGTTAATTTGAGTATCTGCACATTTCTGCACTGAGCTCCAGTCTGGCTGAAAGCAGCAGGGTGAGGCTGCTTGCTCCGGACATCGGGGGGGTTCAGACCTAAAGCTGCACAAAACACAACTATTAAAACCTGCTGTATTTCTGTGCAGTTGAAGATTTGTACTCCTTGGAGGCTGACAAACACAAAATAATAACGGTTAACTTACAGTATGCCAGCAGTGTTTGTAAGTACTTTCGATTACATAAGAGGAAAATCCCTCCCTGCAGGTTTAAAAGGAACCCTAACCTCTGGTTTCACCCATTCACAAACAGATCCAACATGTCTGAAGAACAGATGAGGCAGCACCATCTTGTGTTGGCTGTTAGAAACATACTCAAATAACTCTCACCGTGGCTTTTATTAAATTATTTCAAATAAGCCTCTGATTCTAGAGAAAAAAAAGGACAATATTTATTTTAAACTCAAAGACTCTGGCCTTATTTGAAGAATTTTGTTGTTTACACTCTTAATCCTCCCAATAAATAGAAAACTGCACAAATGCTCTGGTGGTTTGTTGAAACCATTTTAGTAACTTAATAGGATGGAATAGTGTTTTGAAAAATCAAAAAGTAAGATCAGATATTTCACATTATTTTGTAAAAGATGGAAATGAAATTTATGATCAGAACGAAATTGTAAATGGATTTAATAATTATTTTGTRAATGTTGGCCCAAGTCTTGCAGCTAAAATACCAAAAGTAAATAAAAATGTGAGTCATCCAGTCATGGGTTGCACCAGCAGTATTTTTCTTGATGGAACTGATAACGAAGAAATAATGAATATCGTGAAAAATCTTGCAGACAAAAGATCAAAAGACTGGGTGGACATGGACATGATGCTTGTAAAAGAAATAATGAATTATGTTATTGAGCCGTTTACATATATCTGTAATTTATCATTTTTAACTGGAATATTTCCTGACAATATGAAAGTAGCCAAGGTAATCCCTCTCTACAAGAGTGGTGAGAAATATATGTTTAATAATTACAGACCAATATCCTTGTTACCACAGTTTTCAAAGATTTTAGAGAAATTATTTGTGCTTTGATTGGATCAATTTACCGATAAACAAAATATTCTAAGCAGCAGTCAGTACGGCTTTAGAGCTAACAATTCTGCATTAATGGCACTCATGGACTTAAAAGAGAAAATAACAACTGGTGTTGATCATAAACAATACTGTGCTAGTATTTATGTTGACTTGAAGAAAGCTTTTGACACCACTGACCACAATATTCTTCTTGAAAAATTGAACAAATATGGTAGGACCAGAACTACAGCGGGTATCTAAACTTAAAGTGCCTGTGACGTCAAATTTTAGTTATAAATATGAATGCATTTTAAGAAAGAGGACAWTGATAAAATATTGCAAAAAAAATTTCATGTCGCCGAGATGAACAGTCATTGAGATATTTGCCTGTGAAGAAACAGGAAGTGATGTCAAAGGGGAATGTCTGCATGTGAACAGAGCATTGCTAAAATGGCTAACAATACAGACTGTAGAGAAGAATCTGATGTTTCTTAATATTATTATGACTCACTATCAGAAAGAGAAGAAGAGTCAGAGTTCAAATAATAATGTTTCAATAAACAAAGACCAGAGAGTTTTCTCTGTTGAAGAGTTCCCCTTTGATGTCACTTCCTGTTTCACTTTGGCTGAGCCAAGTTCAAAAGAAAATAGGCCAGTTATGAGACAAAATGGGTTAAATCGTGTATTATTCCAACTTTCTTAAATATAAAGATGTTTTCTTTGACTTTTTGTATTTGAAGAATATGCTTGTCACAGGCACTTTAACTAATATCACCTGCTACTTTTTGTGCCAGAGTTTTTACTCACCTTATGCTGAGAAATAACTAATTTTAATTGTTTCGGTCAAACAATAAGTCACATTTTGTTTATTAAAAATATCTTTTTAATAAGTTAAGTATTTCGGTCCACTGGCATTTCTTCAATAAGATATTATTAACTGCGTCACACTGAATGAATCAGTAACTAGCCACATCTTTAATTTTGTGCTCATATTGCCTCCATCAACATTACCCTGACAAGTGTTCGTCATTTGTGTGCCTGTCTCTGTAACAGATAATGATTTAATCGCCACACATGGATTAATTTACACAGCAGCAGCTGTTTACCCCAAATAAATTAGCTTCAGAAAGCGTTCAGTCTGCGTTGAAAATTACAGACGCTGTGATTCACTAACTGTTGTGTCACTGAAAGTCGCGCTAATGACTCCCTAAAGGAAACCATTGTTCTTTTGGTTCAGAGACGTTAATATGAAAAGAACGCAGTAATTGTGAAATCCAGATGAGCTCATTTAGCCTCTGAATTGGACTTCATGTTACTGGAATAACAAACAGCTTGTTTTCTGGGGGTAATGATGCTCACCAGTGTGCTGAAGGCATGTCATCACCTCCCTGGAACTTCACACAGTCTGATTGAAGACAATAGGGTGTGAACGTTTGAGACAACATTTCTGGGCTCGTCGTCCGTTTGTTCCAATTACTTTCACGTTTGTATCAATTTCCACACGATGACTATTTGTTGTAAAGGAGCGTGGGAGTCGCCTACTTGGAATTTTTCTGCCTCAGACGCTGAAAACAGAAACATATTCTCCGTCGAAGTGAAAATTATTCTGCATTTGTGTGTGTGGGTGTGTGTCTCGGTTGAATTAAAGCACCAACCAAATGCACAAAAACACCTGCAGCCAAAATAAAAGCTGGTCTGAGTGGGAGAGCAAAATTACACAGCAATATGCTTTGATTTAACAGCGAGCAACGATACTGGAAAACATGAAATTACCAAATGGAGAAATTTCCACTTGGGTTCAACAAAGTGATAGTTTTACCAGACTGAGCTCACTGGGCTTCCTCAAAAACAAAACAGGAGTGGTTTGTTGGAGGGAAAGAGAAAAATCCAGCTGAAAAGCAGTTTTTCTGATTTTTCTTCAGGTGTTTGAAGAAAAACTGAGACAAAATGTTTTTATAGTTTCATCGTTCACATTCTGTACTAACAAAATAAGATACATTGTTCTGTAAACATCCACTATAGTGCTACATCAAACTGAGCTTTTTCCTTAGGATATCCAACCACACACACACACACACACACACACACACACACACACACACACACACACACACAC